GAGAGAGAGAGAGAGAGAGAGAGAGAGAGAGAGAGAGAGAGAGAGAGAGAGAGAGAGAGAGAGAGAGAGGAGAGAGAGAGAGAGAGAGAGAGAGAGAGAGAGAGAGAGAGAGAGAGAGGAGAGAGAGAGAGAGAGAGAGAGAGAGAGAGAGAGAGAGAGAGAGAGAGAGAGAGAGAGAGAGAGAGAGAGAGAGAGAGAGAGAGAGAGAGAGAGAGAGAGAGAGAGAGAGAGAGAGAGAGAGAGAGAGAGAGAGAGAGAGAGAGAGAGAGAGAGAGAGAGAGAGAGAGAGAGAGGAGAGAGAGAGAGAGAGCAGGTAGAGCAGGTAGAGCAGGTAGAGCGCAGAGGTCACCGGCAGAGGCAGAGGACCCCGGTACCACTGTGACGGGGAGAGGTCTAGAGGGAGCTCCTCCCGGAATAGAGAGCATGTCTTATCACCGGCGTCGCCGGAGGCATGGGAATATTATCCGCGCGATATATGCGCTTGTCATGCTGTGGTTGTCATGCGTGGGTACATGATGACAGATGAACACGCATGGGAGATGATGGAACACAAATGAAAAACATCGATTTTTGTACCATAAGTGAAAATATCCGTAGTATCTAGACCACTGCTGCATAACTAATGTTAGGATAAGGGTTGATGTAGAGCGGGGAGGGATGAGCCCAACATTATGTTCCAGTTTGAACGGTAAGTAGCAGGTTACAATTTCTTTGTTTGAATAATATTTTGAACCGCTTTCAAAGCGCTGCGTAGAATATATTTAACTGTATTTATTGGCATCGCAGGGATTCGTTCTCGCTGCAATAAGGACGGCTATGCAATGTTCTCATATACCTATAGCTGCCATCATCCCTCCACACACAAACACACGCAAAAACACACGCACAAACACACGCACAAACACACACCAAAAAAAAAAAAAAACGACTGCTATTGTGGTGAGTGCCAACAACATCAGGATCCCCATACGTTTCGGCTGTTTTGATTGAGGAACTTTGTTGGTATTCTGAATGCTGTGCCTAGTTTTCGTATATCGGACATTCCGCCGAGGCGGTAAACACTCCTTACGAAGTTGGAGATGGAACCAAGTTCGGCATCGGCGTCGTCAATGGGACAGTAAAGTTAGATTCTGGGTACAGAATCGAGAGAAGCTTGATATGACTCATCTTATTGATGACACCAGCTTTGAAAATATGACAGATAATTCCGTAATGCCTGGTATTGAATATAAGGTTAGAGAGCTAAAGAAATAGAGAGTTAACACTTCTGTGCATTTTTATCGGAACATCTATTAACCCGCGCCCCACTGGGGTCTGTGTATAACACGCCCTACTGTGGGGGGGGGCTATTCATAGCCCCCCCCCCTCCTAACTCCGAAACTGCTGGGCCGATCGTCAAAATTCAAACGGCGTCTGATAGCCCCGGAAAAACTGTCGAGCGAAACCTAGTTTCCTTGACCTCGAGGTCATCGATGACGTCACAGGTCAGGTCAAAATAAAAATTATTAGCATTTTGGCTTCTTCACGTTTTGGGCTCTGGCCGCCGTCTTACAAGTCAGATCAGGCTCATTTTTGGTTCACACACTCGTGAACAGATGCTCTATATACTCTGAGGGTACCAAACTTGTACTTTGATTTTCAGGTCAAGGTCAGGTCATCACAGGTCACGAAAATATTATATCATCCGTCGGTCACGTGACACATGTTTTATGGTCCATTTAGGCCACGTTAGGTGGCACGGGCGGACATCGATAGCAGCGCCTCTATCGGTCACTAGGGAAAGCTGGGCTGTAGGCGACGAAATACCGGCTAAGTTGCCACACGTTGAATAGGTTTAAAGGCATCCGTCTTGTGAAAAAGTTGAACTTTTGCCTTCAATATTTCTACAGGCAATTTTAGAAGTGTCTTCACATAGATTACAAAACCGTTTAGATTATTGTATTCACTTCAAGCCTTCCCTATTGTTCTTGACGATGATGCGGGAACTATTTCTAAGTGGTGTTTCTAGCTTAGTAAAAGAACATATTGTGCAAACCGTGCAAACGATGAAAAAAGCATAAATGGAAGATTTTAGTTGCAATTTTCTCTAGCAATTAATGGTAAATTCTCTACAGATCAAGGAAAAGGTGCATGCTAACTGATACATTAAAGTTCTTGGGGCCAGTTGTTTCTTCTTTTCTTACGTCGCCCCAATGGCCGCGAATACACTTATGATAACGCCTATCGCCAAACACTTCGAATTTGATGTCGTTCTGTGTCATTCGAGGTCATTTTAAGTCTAATTTAGCTTAGGTCAGGTCACCTTCAGGTCAGAAAAGGTCAAATTTTGAAGTTAACATTTTTCAACAAAAAAAGGTATCTATTGGATGCAGTTTGAGCTCAGGAACACGATGGTGCTATTTATATTGGCGTACAATGTCAAATTCGTGCTGAAAAATTGATTTGAAAAATTAATAATTGTTAATTTTTTGCAATAATGCGTATAACTTGGCCATTTTTGAAGATATTTAGCTAAAACTTGCTAGAATTAGTCATAATAATGCGTTCTATCATATATATTCCGGTTTTTTCAAAAAGTCAAAAAGTTTATGTAAAAATATAAACTTTGAATTTTATTATATTTTTTTCGAAATTTTCAAAATTTCGAAAATCCGAGATAGCAGTTTGATAGCGCAGTCTATTCTGAGTCCTCTCATGCAAAGAAATTGGATCTAGCTTAAAAACTGAGCTCTTGGGAGCGATTGCCGTGGTTCAATGTTTTGCGTCGAAATCGGCCGAACATGACGTCACTCTGACGTCATTTCCGGCCGATTTATGGTAGGTACGAAGTTCAAATTTTGACACAAGGTGTCGAATTGATGCAGCCGAAAGTACTGAAAGTTTGGCGTCGATATGTCAAGTGGTTTGGAAGTTATTGCAGAAAAACGGGAGGGGGGGGCTGTAAATAGCCCCGCCCCGTGGGGCGCGGGTTAAAAAAGAGACGAAGAACCTTTAGCAAGACATTTGAGGAAGGCAATTATTCTAAAGCCATTATTGTCTTCAAAGGATACAAAACCATCACTATCACCTACTGATAACAGGGAGCTTTTGCGTAGCCCTCCGACAATTCAGGCTTGTTTTCAATAGAAAAAGACCATTCTTACAAATTGTGTTTTTAGCTTTTGAACATAACCCTTCGGTTATTCAGCCGCCTCCATCAACCCTGCCCGTGCTTCCTTTCATCTTCCTCACCCCTACAAACGACATAAACCACCACCCCACCCCACCAGCCCGGGTGCAGGGAAGGGGTGCTCTGCCTTCCACGCTTCATTAGGCGCCATTCTGGTGACGACACGCCATCGCTCGACGTCACACCGGCTCACAGAGCTCATCGGTCGTACCACGCCGCTGACGATGACCGATTCGCCTCCGATGACGTCACTTGTGTCCAAGATGACCTCCGGTGTCCAGGAGTGAGTGATGTCAGAGTCAGTTAGTCAGCCATGCCTAGAGTAGTTATTGGTGTTATGATTTTTTTTCCGTTATCTTGCAGTTCTCGACATATCTATGCGCTACGTCGTTTTTAGCAAGTAATTCGAAGATTCTTTGATCCGATGTTATGCCTACGGATACTTTTCATTTTGACCAAGACATGCCCATTACTATAGTAACAAGATTATTTACCGATTTGCCACCACCAGACGACCCCCGACCCTCACATTTCCTCACATTTCCCGTGCCACTCCCCAGCGACCCTCCATCCTTCCGACCGCCTTATTTACCTCTCCGCCACTCGAAACACTCCTTCCTTTCCGTTGGCACGGATATCGGTGGCGTCGAGCGCTGAGCTGTCGGTCGACATCCGCCCGACTATCTCCGGCGCGGCGCGCAGCGCCCCATTAGGCGGTCTCCAGCTGGGCTCGTGCAATCTTTGGCCGCCGCCTGTCTCCTTGTTGTCACTCCACACGCGTGTAACGAGGCCCGTCGGGAGACGGGGGAGTCGCAGCGGCCGAACGGGAGGGGAGCGGTGGGCGGCGAGCGGCGGAAAACGTACGGCGGGCGGCGGAAAACGTACGGCGGCCGGTGGAAAAACGTGTCGTGGTGGTAGGCGGTGGGCGGTGGGCGGAATTTTTGGTTACGGTGGGTGGAACAGACGAGAGAAGTGAAGCGAACAACAGCGGTGATTGGCGTTAGACGAACGAAACGGGTCAGTGAACGGAGTAGACATGCGGAATGTGCATTGTGCAGTTGGATGGTGGGTAGTTTGCTGTAGAAGAAACTGGGGCATGAGTGAACGGTAGACGGGGGACGGTGGATGGTGGGCAGAGGACGGTGAACCAATGCGCAGTAAGCTTTAAGCTGTAAACGACATTAGTATGCAGCACTGAGAGGCTTTTGACGCCGTGCGATTGTTGAAGAGTGCGTTGGTAGCCAGGAGCCTGCCACTAATAGGGTTAAGACCGTGCTGACAGCCGACCCAGAGCCTAGGCATAAAAGCTATGCGTTTTGCGGATCCATAACTGTCATGTAACGTAAAACGCCTGTTGTGTGAGCATTTGAAACCGGGAATGACTGAGCCGATCGCGCTGAAACTTTGCCAATCGTCGGGAATTTCTTGATGTTTTCATGTTTTACCTATATGGTTCGGATGCAAGATACTCAACGTAGGCAAGTACAAGTCATTTTACTTCTCAAGACCGACTGGTCCCATACTGTCTCGTTTTGAGGTGAATTCCGAATTCGCTTAGTTCCATATTACAATGTCAACAGACTCATGTTTTATGTAATCGTAACAGACAGCATGCATATTCAAATTCAAACGTTTCTAGAATTCGAACAAAGTGCTGGTGACCTCGGTCGACCTACATCACTACCCCCCCCCCCATAAGCACACGGACACTGCGCGAGCCGTAATCCCGACCGGTCGTCACGTTACTGAGTCCGTCTGCACCGACGACCCCCCCCCCCCCCGCCAGCTCGTCGGTGCGTCGTCGGCACCTTGTACCACGACGGGCCGCTCCTGGGGTCAGTGTGAGGCGCGGCGGCGGCTTAGAAGGAGCGAGGGTTGGACGGCCGGCGCCCGGCGGGGAGGCGATGGCTCAGGATCGGGGTGTGATGGGGAGCGGGCCGTTGAAGGGATCGATAAAGGGCGAGAATTGCGAGTGACAGCGGCACACTGGAGGCTGGAAGCGGAAAGGTAAGTTGCACCCCAGTGCCCACATTAATTTCTGAATAAGATATTTGAGCTTGTGACCATTGAAAAAGAACAAAATCATTCATCGCAATAAGTTAGCCGTAGCTGCCTGACATCAGTGCTAGAAAGCTTTGGATGTCTGGAAATTCGGCAGCTTGGTTTGCATAACTTTGCTTCGACTGTTCGACATTATACAACAATATAAAAGGAAATGGCTACAATATACTAGTGCTAAATAATTTTACAGTATCCACAGGAGTTGGCTTGTAGCCATTCGAGCGTTTTCAAACATTCACTTTGAGTGTCTTCTTAGGTAACGTCTTCAAAAACTCCCAGCCACCACCTGCCTTTTCAGTCCTCTCGAAAATAGCATTCCATGCATATTTTAGCACAGTGTATGAAACGCCATTTTACGAGTCCATTGATGCGCCATTGCGCTGCATTATGAACACCTGTATGGCCACTGTCCCTGGAAACAATGGGCGACATTTCAGGCCGCCGGGTCGGCTGGACCGTTTGTATTGAACCACTGGGGACCGTAAGGTCGTCAGGCGACGGGCCGTGCAGGCCCGTCAACGGTTTGTATGGAAATCTATTAGTGCTAACAATGTACCAATCGATTGTTGCAGATGAGGGAAACGCTCATTTACGGATGGATGATTTGGCTCTGCTGTGTAACAATAGCGACTGGAAAACAAAAGGTGAGCCATTGTTGGATCACACGTGTGCAGTTCGATTTTCGATGCAGCTTGATGCATAGCTGCCGATGAATGACTGGCTATGAAATGTTAGAGGCCATGATTGTCCCTTGATCGATGCATGCACCAGGGGTGTCACTGAATAACTACAGCGGAAACTACGACACTAAATTGAATGTGAAGCATGTTCTTTCATGCATATGTATGAGATCTAACTTGCAGTTGCATAAACTCTCTTTGTTCAGCTTCTCTTGTGCATTTGTGTTTGCTACTTTTTGCGTACAGTTTCATTTCGATTCCATTGCAATATTTTTATTTTAAGAATTGGACAACTTCCCAAATGTTCATCTAAATTCTAAGAACTGTAAATTTTGCATACAATGTAAGGTTTATGGGTATCTAAAAAGTTGTAATAATTGTAGACGGAAGCTTGAAATATAATTATATGCAAAGTATACGGGAAAGGTCAAAAATTAATCAAATGTTTTCGCAGAACGGCTACCACTAGGTGGCATCACAATGGCATTGGCTGGCATTCCAAACACTGCTGCAGGTGCATATCTCTCGAGATGAGGCTCCGAGTCATAGCCTGGTGGATTGGAGCTGAATCACATAAAATCAGCCCTATATCCCGGTCGCCGGCGATGCTGAGAGCCACGTGACCCGTTTGTTTCAAGCTCGTTGCGCCGGAACTCCAGCTGCTGAACGGAAAGAACCGTGGATCGGCTTCTGTGCAGTGGTGCTTTTTACCCTGTAACCTATTAGTTGCAGACGGTATGGCTCGGCTGTATTTCAAAGGCGTCTACGTTTGACACTAATTGCCTTTGGCGCAAAATGTTCTGTGCAAACTGATGGCGTTTGTCCTTATCATTGCCACTCATTTGCGATTTCAAAACACAAATAAACATGAAAGTGCTGCATAACTGCAGGAAATGAAACCTTCCCACTTCAAAGATAGCTTTGATAAACTAGCGGCATCTATTTAAAATTACAGCCCACAAGTGAAACGTAGATACGTTGAAAACCTAAAACGAAAGCGATCAAAGTGACTATGCCACCTCGGAAACAGTTAATGAATTGTTCGCAAAGTGCCCGAGTTCAAAAGACCATGGCCGAATATCTAGCAAAGTTCACCAATGCATATTTACCGGTTCTAAGATGTTAGACTTTTATTATTTTGAGTTGCCGTGTTCCTGTGACGTCATAAAGTTTTTTTCTTAACGTTTATTTGAAAGCAATGGTTTGGAATGTTTGTGGAGTGCGACAGTGATCGTGAGCTTGCATTAGCTTTCCCCGAAGCTCTAGCTCAATTAGGCGCGAAATGGCGGAGGTGGTACAGGCCGTCTGTAAACCGACGAAAAATGCATTATGTACACGTATTTAACCGATACATCCGACGCTGTACTTTTGTGTAATTTACGGTGAACTTTACATGGAGATATTAGCGATATTGTCTTCCACCTATAGACATTTGCTATCCGAAGAGCTTGATTTATTCATGTTATCCGTTTGAGATGATTCCAATTAAGGCCTAATTCAAAGATCCGAATCAGAAATAGAGACGATGGAACAGCTCTGAGAATGCAAATTACAGGAAGTTTCACCCGATTGCATCTCATTCAATGGGGTGGCAGGATCTATTTTCCATAGAGCTGAGTGTGTTATGAATTATTGAGAAATACATCGAACGAACACCACCTAAGGAAAGGAGAGAATATTAGCGTGAAGGTGATTGGTTTTAGCATGACGATTATTTCAATTTTTCATGATAAAAAGCGTGCTCTCACTTTTTAGATGGTCTAAGGCACGGACTTCCCTATATATAGCGAGAAGTCGGTGTCTAAGGATATGCCTTTTTAATCTTTTTAGTTACTTACTTACGCTGCAACATATAACACGCGCAGTGGAAGGGTTCCGAGAACTACGACCAGTGGAAGAGGGGGCGGGGGTGAATGACGCCCCCCCCCCCCCTAAGATCTCAGCTCCTATGGAAGCTATAAATACGTAACATAGATGGTGGGCTGGACAAAAAGCAATTCAAGTATAAGTACTCATTTTTCAACTACCTGGGGAGATTTTGCTGTCCTTTACTTCAACATTTGCGCAAGACATTCTTGTCCTTTGCAAAGTTTGCCTATGCTGACACTAAAGATCGTCATCCTTCATCTTAATTTCAGCAGCTATTGCGTTAAATGGTAAATATATCTCCCAGAATGAGGCCGTTAGCGTGTCTGGACAGATCGCTGCCAGACACTGCTAGCGCTGCACTCAGCAATAAAGTGCCGGGTATGACGTTTGGCTGGTTTGACCGTTTGGCTGGTGTGAACCTGGTGATCGATCGCAAATCAAAGGCGATTGAGCGCGTGGCCATTATTTGTTGAGCATTTGAGCTGATGGACATCGAAAAGAGACACGATGCTAGAGTGAGTGAGATAGAGAGAGAGAGAGAGAGAGAGAGAGAGAGAGAGAGAGAGAGAGAGAGAGAGAGAGAGAGAGAGAGAGAGAGAGAGAGGGAGAGGGAGAGGGAGAGAGAGGGAGAGAGAGAGAGGGAGAGAGAGAGGGAGAGAGAGAGAGGGATGGAGGGAGAGAGAGAGAAGGGAGAGAGAGAGAGAGAGGGGAGAGAGAGGGGGAGAAGGGAGACAGGGGGAGAAGGGAGATGGAGACAAAAATTAGGAAGATTACAACAAAAACATGCAGTGACAACTTAAAATAGTTATAGAAACGTATAGGAGGGGTCATTCGATGAGCCATATGTTTTGGAAAAGCCCGGCATTTGAATTGGTCTCTGATGTCTGGGATTGAACGTAGACTACAAAGACTGACCTTTGAGCCGTATTTTCTTCTGGCATTGAACAACTTCGCTATGAAGCTGACCTTTGACCTGTGCTTTATACCTCTGCGCTGGTGCCTGTCACTGACATCTGACACCCCCCTGTCAGACCGAGTGTCGGCAGCCGTGCGGCCGGTGTCGGGCCGAGGTCAGCTGTCAGGAGGGGGTCCCCCTCGTGCTGGACGGCTGCCGCTGCTGCCCCATCTGCGCGCGACAGCACGGCCAGCGCTGTGACGCCGTCCGCATCTGTGACGTCACCAAACAGCTCGTCTGTGACGTCACAGGAACGTGCCGAGGTGAGGACATGGGGATGGTGGATAAAAAGCGTAAGTAGGAAGACGTTTTTGGTATGCGTCTCTTGCTGTGTCAAGTGCCTCATTGGCATTGTGTGCAAACTGCGCTTTAGTTTAGCACATATTTTTCGGTGTTCTCGTATAATTGGTAATATAAGACTGAATGCACAATGCCGTCGAAAGATGACAGCTTTCGACAGATGGTGCAGTCGCAAGGCAAGAACGTCATGTGTTGTGTATGCATCGACGGGAGAACTCCCATTGTCTTCCAGGCTCCAACTTCCGTAGCTGTTTGGTGAACGGCACGACGTATCGCGATGGCCAGACCTTCTTCACAGACTGTCGTACCCGCTGCACCTGTCAGGTAGGTACCTGAGAGACATACCTGTCAGGTAGGTACCTGAGAGACATACCTGTCAGGTACGTATCGCGATGGCCAGACCTTCTTCACAGACTGTCCCTAGTGAAAAAGTCCTTAAGGATTTCGCCAGAATCCCCACAATCCTTAAGGATCCATAAGGACCCATATGGATCAGATATGAAATCCTTAAGGATTCTACGGACCTTCTAGAATCCTTAAGGACGCATTCGCCGATCCGTAAGGATTTTAGGGCGATGTTTGGTATCCTTAAGGATCGCTCAGTATTCCGTAAGGAAATTGCTACTTGCTAGTGTCGCTTAATCCTTCAGGATAGCCGATGCAGCCAGTACGTCAATCATTATGGAGTGATTGAATCATCCCTAGTATTATTCCGTGCTCCGTATCCGTTAATATACGGCATGTAAAAACTTTGTGACGGACCAAAGCAGCGTTCGTTATCATCATAGGCGCGGGAACCGGGAGGCGAGGGGGCAGTGGGAGCAGCTTGCCCCCACTTTTGTGCTGCAACTTTGAAATTAAATATTTTCGATTTATGGCATTTCTCGATATTGCGAGTGCCAAAACCGGTGATTGTGAGCCAGGGATAACAATTTGGCTACCTTAACTCAGAACTAATATTTAGCTGGGATGGTGACCTAAATGTCCACGCTGGGTTCATCCAGACTCCAAATCGGATAGACGAATAGTTCTGATAAAAAGTACCTATTGGTATCTCAACCAAGTGCCACAGTATGCATGTATCGCATGGCCTCAGTGTCACCGGTGCCACAGCGTTTGCGCTGTGCTCTTTCAGAGACCGTACCGACTGGAATTTAGCGACCGCTGACCGTTTCAAAGACTGTACGGGCGGCAGCGGGCGGTCTGATCCTCGCCTCCGGCAAGAGGGGAGACCGCGCGTCCCCCTGTCGCATTGTGCCGCCGCCGCTCGCGGGATGCGGACGAGTCTGTTGAGTGTGTTGTGCCGTCTGCCGTCTCCTCTTCGGGCCATGTAAGTTTCTGCCATGCTGTGTATCAATGAAATAATTGATCCTAGTTATTACATTGATAGATCAAAAAACCGGCGCTGAAACGTTCACTTCAATTAATGGCGATCGTCGTCCTCATTCATTTGGCTGCGGCAAATGAAAGTACTACCGGTAGCGTCTTTTAGCGCCATGCCTTGGAACGAGGCCCAGGTAAATATAATAGAATGGATTCAGGGTAGTAGGACGTAGGTGCATATGTGATGCATTGCTAAATGAACATACACAGGCATCTAAGCTGGAAATGACTGAACTGAATTTACTCAAAGGCTCACCAATATTCTTTGGCTGGGACTACAGTCTAAGCCTAAGAGTAGAATTCGGGAGCCTTTGAGTAGGTATTGTTGATCAGTATATTACTGTTATTACATAGGAATATCCGCCTTGTTACAGGAACGCAGGATGCGAGACTCGACAGGCGACGGGCGACTCAACCGCTCAAGATGTGTAGAATGTGGATGGCGTAGGAGCGGCGGCCGAGGACGTTTGACGTGATAATATCTGAAGCGTGGCTGACTCGAAAAAGTGTAGACTTATCTTCCTGTAAATATGTTTTTTTTCGGAAGTCCTCGGCTTATATTTCTCGGAGCCTCAGCTGCAACCTGCGAATGCCTGGAGCTCCATATATGTATACCCGGTCGCCTGTGGCTGGCGGCTGCTCCATTCCTGGCAATGAAAAATGGCTAAATGTGCTTATTTCAAGTAAAAAATATAGCTTCAGAGACCGTACAAATGTGTTTGCTAGGGTTTGATCCTTACGGATTTATATGTCATTCATTAAGGAATAGCCTCAAAATCCTTGAGGATTGTCGCCAAGATCCTTAAAGATTTTGCTACCAATCTTTAAGGAAAAAAAAACACAAAGTCCTTAAAGATTATTACCAATGTCCTTAAAGACATTGCTAGAGATCCTTAAGGATTTAGCTAAAAATCCTTACGGATTTTCCGCAGAATCCTTAAGGAATTTCTAACAAAATCCTTAAGGAATTTCTAACAAAATCCTTAAGGATTGTGTATCAATTTCGTACAAGGATTTTGTTAAGGATCGTCCTGAAGAAATACATAGGACTGTCCTTAAGGATTTTTTCACTAGGGGTCGTACTCGCTGCACCTGTCAGGTAGGTACCTGAGAGACATACCTGCCACTGTCGTACCCGCTGCACCTGTCAGGTAGGTACCTGAGAGACATACCTGTCAGGTAGGTACCTGAGAGACATACCTGCCAGGTACGTATCGCGATGGCCAGACCTTCTTCACAGACTGTCGTACCCGCTGCACCTGTCAGGTAGGTACCTGAGAGACATACCTGCCAGGTACGTATCGCGATGGCCAGACCTTCTTCACAGACTGTCGTACCCGCTGCACCTGTCAGGTAAGTACCTGAGAGACATACCTGTCAGGTACGTATCGCGATGGCCAGACCTTCTTCACAGACTGTCGTACCCGCTGCACCTGTCAGGTAGGTACCTGAGAGACATACCTGTCAGGTACGTATCGCGATGGCCAGACCTTCTTCACAGACTGTCGTACTCGCTGCACCTGTCAGGTAAGTACCTGAGAGACATACCTGTCAGGTACGTATCGCGATGGCCAGACCTTCTTCACAGACTGTCGTACTCGCTGCACCTGTCAGGTAGGTACCTGAGAGACATACCTGCCACTGTCGTACCCGCTGCACCTGTCAGGTAGGTACCTGAGAGACATACCTGTCAGGTAGGTACCTGAGAGACATATACCTGTCAGGTAGGTAACTGAGAGACATACCTGTCAGGTAGGTACCTGAGAGACATACCTGCCAGGTAGGTGCCTGAGAGACACACACCTGTCAGGTAGGTACCTGAGAGACATACCTGTCAGGTAGATACCTGAGAGACATACCTGTCAGGTAGGTACCTGAGAGACATACCTGCCAGGTACGTATCGCGATGGCCAGACCTTCTTCACAGACTGTCGTACTCGCTGCACCTGTCAGGTAGGTACCTAAGAGACATACCTGTCAGGTACGTATCGCGATGGCCAGACCTTCTTCACAGACTGTCGTACCCGCTGCACCTGTCAGGTAGGTACCTGAGAGACATACCTGCCATCATGCCACCATGCCAGGTACGTATCGCGATGGCCAGACCTTCTTCACAGACTGTCGTACCCGCTGCACCTGTCAGGTAGGTACCTGAGAGACATATCTGTCAGGCAGGGTTGTATACCAATCAAGTCGATTGAATTGATTGATTTGATTCAACGCGTATTTTGAGTTGATTGGATTGAGTCGATTGACTTTTCGAGATGACTGGTTGACTGACTCGTTTGACTTTAGCGACTGGTTGACTGATTTGATTCCCGAAAATTAGAGTGACTCGTATGATTGAGTCGATTGAATGGAAAGTTCAAATAAGTTTTAGTTGACGAAAAATAATGACACCAATTGATGACATCAAAGATCACAAAACTACACTGAAAACTGCTTGTCATCACAACTGCAATATGGGGTAGATGGCCAAATAAAGAACAGGGCCTAAACATGAACAGCCAACTTTGACTTTTAACTGTAATAACTGCTCCAATCCTGGTGATAGAACCTGGCGATGCACCTACCTACCTTTCTGCACTCAGCAGGAAACTTTTTTTTTTAATCCAGATGATAAAGTGCAAGGCCCTATATACTAATAAAGTGTGATTAATTAATAATTAACATCTCCACATCTCCCTCTACATCTCCTCAGAAACAACCCACTGAACTCTATAAATATCTGAAACCCCTACAAAAATAACTGAAACAAAAGCGCCGTTTTCGTCTCACTAATTACAGTTCAGCTGAGCGCGCCGCCGCGAGCGGACGCGAGCGCTGCTCACTCCTCCCCGTTACCCCCTTCTGCCTACTCCGTGTGTTAGTGTGAGTGTGAGTGTGGATTTGTGCTACTTGAACAGTCTTTCTACATGGATACGTCGTTTGCAACCTCTTCAAGATCTCGTCGTGGCCAATACCCCTTTCGCCTCAACATGCACCGTGATATCGCCCGGCTCCTGGTTCTGCTCGCCGTAGTGCGGGTACTGACCGTCGTGGCCTGCCCGGCACCAGCGCCGCCACCCAGGTCCACGCTTCGAGTTGCCGATCACCATCTCAGGCACCACCTCACCGTAAGAAAACCTGCTTTCCCACGCAATTTTTCTCGGAATTCATCTAACTCTACTTGTGACTCGGCCCCAGCTCTAGCCACCCAACGGCTGCCGGTTTTCAAATCTTCCCGAGCCTCGGGGACGACGGCCCGCAGTCCCGCGCCGCGCGCCGAGCCCCACGGGCGCCAGCTGGCGGCCGTGTCGCCTCACCCTCCCCTCCAGCTGAGAGCCCCGCCGGCCCGAGGGGGTGGAGAGCGGCCGCTCGCGCTGCCCGCGTCCCACGGCGCGCCGCCGGTGGCCCAGGCCCTGCCCATCAGAGGCTCCCCGCGCCACAAGCCGGCCCGCAGCGACGGACGCCGTCCACAACCGCCGCCCACCGGCGGATCGCCCGAGCCTCACGCCCAGCTCCCCACCGCCCTCGCCTCCGCACCCGCTCCAGCCGGTCAACCCGCCGCACCAGCTACCGGCGCCCCTAGGTCGGCCCGAGGCGGCGGCCGGCGGCCGCAGCGCCGCGGCGCGCGTGGACGGAGGGGGCGGGGCGGCGGCTGCACCGCGACCGCGCCCACCGCTCATCGTCCCGGCACCGGACTGCTAATCGGAGCCCTCAATGTCCAGAGCCTCAAGCCCAAACTGCTGGAGCTGTCGGACGAACTTAACCGCCAAGATCTCGACGTCATGCTCCTGTCCGAAACTTGGCTACGACCGAGCACACCCAATCGCCTCCTGGTCATCCCTGGCTACTCCATCAGCCGGGTGGACCGACCTGACGGCCGAGGCTTTGGTGGCGTCGCCATCATCACCAAAGCGGACCTTACGCCTGTAGCACTGAAGCCACCAAGCTCGCAG